CATTTCTTTATTAAGAGAAATGTACAGCATCTATAGGTTGTTAAGTCTAAGCATTGCTAAGCAAAACCTCTCCTTTTAAGCCCCTTTCTCCCCCCTTCTACTTTCTTTTCCTGCTTGAAATTCCTCGCACCTTTCTCCCGGTCTCACAGTTGCTTGACCTTGTTGGCGCCTCTGCAGAGATAACAGCGGCACCTGGCTTGGCATCCTTCTCCCCCCCTTCTCCTAACTTCGATGGCGGGAACAAGCAAGCGGGCCTCCAATTAACACTTTAACCATTTAACTGTCAAATATGCATTTCTGGTCTAAATTAAATGAAACTAAGATTCCTAGCTTGCGTAGATCCTGACAGTGGGTGTGGGCGAACCACGCAGTACAACCTCAGCCCATTTCACTGGTTGCCAGTCCAATGTAGAGCCCACCCCCCAAATGGGTTAATTTTGTACCCAGCCTAAGTGCCTGAAAAATGGAGTTGGGGGATTTCACCCTGTGTATCTGGAGGGCACCAGGAAGGGGGAAACTGGAGGTGTGTTTTGTCGCTCTGCTTGGAACAGAAAACAGCTTGCAGGAGCGTAATCCCATTATTTCTTCCCAGAATTTCCTCTGATGGAAGTTATTCTTGAGCTTATTACAGAAGAGAAATTGTCTACAGTACAAGGGGTCCCTGGGTTAAGAACACCCGGGTTACAGATGGCCCATAGTTAAGAATGAAGCCTATTCTAGCAAAATTCAAGTTAAATCCACAAGGGTTTGAGTTCATGACCCAATACTACTTCTACTGTATTATGCAATCATACCATTCCAGCTTACATACACATTCGACTTAAGGACAGACCTTGGGAAGGGAACTCGGTCTTAACCTGGGGACTACCTGTATTTGGGGAAATTTAGACTGTGGATTTCATGGGAGAGGGGCTGTTTTTATCCCCCAAGCTCTGCTATTGCTTCTTCAGACAAAGAAGGAAAAAAAATTGAAGGGTGCAAACCTGTACGCACCCCAATTTCTTTTGTGATATTGCAAAGGATCCTGCTTGTGCCTCTCGAGGATTATGCCCCCTGCTTTCTGGTAACCGCTAGAAATATATGGACTTCAACAAGGAATCACTCTGATTTTTCTTAATCCATCCACATCTTAATCCTGAAATGTCCGCTTCGGTGTGGTCACAAGAAATGTATTCTCCAATGATCAGAACTCTGAAGAGGCTGCCTGTTGCCTTTCTGTATGTCCTGGGTTCTTCCCAGTTAGACTGTTATGGCAAAAGGGTGAGCCAGAGGCGTCCACAGGGTATGGTCAAAACAGTCAAAATGGTGGCTGTGAGGGTGCAATCGCATTGCACCTTAAAAGCAGGTGGGGCAACGATTGCAACGTCAGTGTTAGGCCATGGTTAGCTGATACTGCAGTGGACCATTCAGAGTTATGGTTTATTAGAAGGATCTGCCACAGCAACTCTGCATGAGTTTTTCCTCTGAGCTGGTTTGCTCCCAGTTTGGGGGCCCATCCAGCAACCTACAGAAGGACTCCTCTAGAACATGGGCTGCTTGGGGAATTCTGGAACATGCTGGCTGGGGAATTCTGGAAGTTGAAGTCCACCCATCTTATAGTTGCGGTGGTTGAGAAACACTGGTCTCGAAGGCAGATCACCTGGATTTTCTAAAAGGAAGAAGGTTATCCAGCCGTCATGTAGCAGGGAAACGGGAACTGGATTTGGCTTCTGGGCACTGGGGAAACACTAATGCCAATCTTCTTGTGGGTAGTTTGTGTCTCCTTTTTAGCGGCCTCCACCATTCCTCCCGTCCCCCGCAACCTGTTACAGTTCCACAACATGATCAAGTGCGCGATCCCCAGCAGTAACCCCGTGCTGGATTTTGCGGACTACGGTTGCTACTGTGGTTTCGGGGGCAGTGGGACACCGGTAGACGACTTGGACAGGTAAGCTCTCCCCTCCTTTGATGTCCATCTTCAAATCCCGTTTGATAAAGAGAATCACCTGTATGTAATGGTCTGCGGGAAAGACCTTGGGAGACGGGGCAAAGAGATGCTGCCTAGGGAACGTTCAGATAAGAGGCAGCATAGCCCACAGCTGCATAATGGGCGGAGAAAGAGGCTCAGAAGGGACCCTCCCTAGTTGCTCAGGCTGTAAAGGAGATGGGGTGTGATGGAATGGACTTATGAAGGCCATGCTCAGGGAGATAAACATTTTCTTAGCTCGCCGCAAGAGCGTGGGAACTACAAGAAGATGAGGCTGGCACCTCCCTAAGGAATTCAGTGGGAACTGGGGTCCAGTCTGGGGAGATTTCTGTCTGGAGATGGAAGCTAATAAACGCAAGAGAACTGTATTTGCATTGTCTCTTGGAGTTCTTTGGGCTGAACCTGACATGGGGGGAGTTTTGTACTTTCAGACTTGCAAGATTCTGTTAACGTAGCTTTACAATAAAGTACAATTAGTTTATCTGGTTGTGTTTCCTCTCTGGTCTGCCTGGTAAGGCTGACATGAATCTTACAAGTCTGAAAGACCAAAGGAAAGATATAGAGAGTGAAGCATTTCCCCTTCAGAATCCTAACTTTCTGGCCATCTCTTTGGAGGAGACGTTTAGCAGCAAAGCCAGAGGAAGGGATCCTCCTTGTGCAGAAACAGTCTACCTCTGGACAGTAAAGACAAGTATACTGGAGGATGCAGACAGCCTGTCCCCCAGGCGCCCTCCAAAAGCCGCTGCTCTATTTTAACTGCATTAGGACCAATCGTAGGACCGGTATTTCGTGAACCGCGTCTAACGTTCATTCCATTTAATTCAAACCCACCGCATTCTCACCGTGACCTCGAAGGCAAGTAACCACAGCCGAGCGAGAAACGTTACAGCTTAAGCAGGGTGCTTTCGATCAATGGAAGGGACTTTTCCCGGCTTTTCTCCTTCTAAAATTTGAGATCACCCAATGAAAGGGGGAGTTAGCCGCCGTGGGGAACCGGATACTTGAGTCCAAGCAAGAGAGGACTTCTCACACCTGGAGAATCAGCCTAAATATTCCTCCTCTTGGCCAGGTGCTGTCAGATTCATGATCACTGCTACGCTCAGTCCAAGCAACATCCTGCCTGCAGATTCCTCGTGGACAACCCTTACACCAAGACCTACTCGTACAGCTGTTCTGGAGGCAATATCACTTGCACTGGTGAGTATCCTGTCTTTCCAATGCCTGAGAATTTTCTTCCTCCATTCGGAGAGGGTTCTGTTTCCGGCTTGCTTTTCCAGGACATTTTAGAACAGGGGTTCTTAACCGGGGGCCCGTGGGGCCCGTGGGGGTCTATGGATAGATTTCAGGGTGTTTGTGAACTCGGGTGGGAGAAAAATGTACAACTTTACTTTCACTCTCCTCTAACTGAAATTTAGCTTTTCCTTCAAGAACGAAGGGAGCCCGCAAAGGAATTCATGCACTGTACACTCCAAAAGTGGTGGTTAACTTGGATAAATCTCCCTCTCTAAATTATTTGAATGACTTTTTCATATTTTGATAACGGTGCTGGAGCATAATAGGTTTCCCCTTTGGAAAACAACCTATGTATTTTATTCTATGCCTTTGAATACACTTTTTTTCTGAGAAAGGGTCTTCTGAGAAAGTTCACTATAGGGCCCCATAAGTTTCAAAGGGGTCTATCGCTCAAAAAGGTTAAGAACCCCTGCTTCAGAATAACTTTCAGTGGTGTGCTTGAGGCTGATTATTGTTAGATGGTGGAGGGGTATATTTTATTTTATTTTATTTTATTTTATTTTATTTTATTTTATTTCATTTCATTTCATTTCATTTCATTTCATTTCATTCCACTGCTTCTTGTCTTTTATTTATTTTATTGTTTATTTTATTGATTTTAGTATTTCTTTTATTGTTTATTTTATTTATCTTAGTTTTTATTTTATTTCTTTTATTATTTCTTTTATTTCTTTTATTATTTCTTTTATTTCTTTTCTTTTATTTCTTTTGTTGCTTTTTATTTTATTTATTTTATTGTTTCTTTTATTTTATTTATTGTTTCTTTTTTGTTTCTTTTATTGTTTCTTTTCTTTTCTTTATTCTTTTATTGCTTCTTTTATCTTATTTATTGTTTCTTTTCTTTTCTTTCTTTTCTTGTTTCTTTTCTTGTATTATTTCATTTTATTTTCCTTCCTTTTTTTTTTTTATTTGTTTTAATGATCTCTCCATCCCTCCACAACCTCCCTTTGCTTCTGCTTCCTGATCGGAAAGAGCCCCGTGGGCCTAGGTCCCCCAGATGTCATTCCTTGGGACTCTGGAGAAACTGTGATCATGAGTTCTCACCTGGTCCCAAGTAAGCAGCCTGAGGCTCGATCGGATAGTTACCGAAATAAGAAACGGATGGAAATTTAATCTCCTGCCCAAACTGATGTGCCTCTAGCCCTTTACATAGAGTGGGTGGGAAAGAGGTGCAAGAAATATGGACACTGATTGTAATCAATAGAGCCTGGATTTAAGATACAGCCGTCACTAGAATTCTTTCATAATGGCTTCATATTTTTGCTGCAATCAATCTACGTGTCTCTGCCTTTGTGTCCTCAGAAATATACTCTGCCATGTAAGATGAGAGGAAGAAGGGGGAGAGGAGGGTGGGAAGCCAGGGAGCCTACAAACTGCTAGAGCAGTATTTCTCAACCTTGGCCACTTTAAGAGGGGTGGACTTCAACTCCCAGAATTCCCCAGCCAGCATGCTTTAAGGCATGTGGACTTTAACTCCCTGCTGGCTGGGGAATTCTGGGAGTCGAAGTCTACCCCTCTTCAAGTGGCCAAATTTGAAAAACACTGGGTTAGAAGGAGATACCCTAAATGAGTGTTTCTCAGCCTTGGCAGCATGAAGATGGGTGGACTCTGACTCCCAGAATTCCCCAGCCAGCATGCTGGCTGGGGAATTCTGGGAGTTGAAGTCCACCCA